AATAATTAACAAATTTACAGAAAATCTCTTATCAAATAAAAATTTATTTTAAATATTATTTTTAGTTCACGTCAATTTTGTCTCTCACAGTGTCAATTAATTAATACAAATCTAAAATGGTAATTTAGATGTTTAGATTAATGTAACAGGAATAATTAATGTCGGTCTATTAAATCAATAGAAATAATACAATAGAAATAATTAACCCGCGTTATATCAAATTAATTTACATAATATAGTACTGCTTGCAAAAATATTTATTAAATTATTTATTATTTATTTATTTAATAATTTATTGAAGACTTATTAAATAAGATATCTATATATACATAATTATAATTAATTAATAAATAGAAAATATCTTAATTATATGATTATACTTTTTATTCTTTTGCTCGCAATATTTCATGATTAAATTAATAACAAGTAATAAAGCAAGTAATTGTAATAATGTAAAACAAGCAATAACAAGTATTTTAATTAATATTGTAATTAATATATTACATAAAATAATTTGCGTAAAACATTAATTGAAGTTAATTGAGGTTTCACGGATTCCCTATCTCCTACTAATTTCTTTAGAGAGAGTATAAGAAACTGATTTAATTCTTGATTAATCTTAACTAATAATTATAAGAAAGAACTATATACACGGATGGAAGGGCTCTCTTGCTATGATTGAGGCAGGCGTCATCCGGTATCTCTGAATGATTCGTGGAGCATATTTGGTTTGCGAAACAACTGTGCTATAACTCTTGGCACCTCTTCTCAACCGTTTCATTCGAGAAAGCCCCGATATTTCGCGCTCCAAGTTGCTCGACAGAAGCTCGAGACGGAATCTTTCGCCCACACAGCCAGCGGGTCTGGAATGTTTTCATAGAAAATTAGAGGGGGGTGATGAAGGAGGAGGGGGCAACAGATGACGGCTCGTGATGGCGATGGTTACACGATCATCCACCGTGGTCGCGCTCGGGGGGTGGTCGGGGGTGAATTCAATCTAGTGGGATTACCCATGGTTCGCCTCTATCGTCCACTGTACCCTTCCAATGCTCTGGTTTTCTGAGCCAGACCGGAATTTCTTGTATGTCAACACGCATCTTTTCGTCGCGCCGGGCCGCAGAGTATCTTAATCCCTTGCACGCCGATAATCTTGCGCGAGAAATAGAGCGATATTAAATATTCTATTTTGGGGAACTTTAACTGTCTAGAATTTCTCTTTCGAACTTTTAATATTATATTCTAATTATATTTTTTTTTCATTTTGCCAATTTATACAGATACAGACATAATATAGAGATTTTCACTAGGAATATCAGTAGTATTAAAATATTGTAATAATTCATATGCAATAATATTCAGTAGTTTTTTAAACTATTTCTATTTTATATTTGTGTATATGCATATATATAATTGTTTAAAATTATTTTTTTTTTACCGAAAAATTCAGAAAATTGGATTTTGGATTAATTAGCAATAATTTATTAATATTAATAATTTTAATTTTTTGAGCAGTATCACAATATTTATCTTTTAACAATGTCCGAAAGAGACGGGAATCACGAGATTACATTTGTACAATCAATATACATGACTGTGTCCATTATACGCATGGAAAAACCTGGCAAAAGCAGTAAGGCAATGTAAGCATAGACCGTATGCAATAAAGCGATTGCGCGTATCCAGTTAATTTCGTGTCTGCATGCATAAATGATAATTATATGGCGCCGCTTTATTTGTGTGGAAGTGGACTTGTTTTACAATACGCTTTTGCGCGTGCTCACTAATTACAATGTTACTCGATATTAGTTCATCAGCATATGAAAATCCAAAATATATTTACCGAGGATGTATTCTTCCTCCACAGGACTTATAAATACGCTGTAATTAGAACTCGGTTATATTGTTATGCTATGCGAGTGTAATTATAACGGATCAATCATAATGAAATGGGCTCCTCATTTATTATATATTTAGTTCATAACATATGCGCAACGCATTCATCTTTTTAAATTTGATTGTCTTCTTGTTCGCACAAGAGAGTCTCGTGATGTTAATCTTTTCAAATAATTTAACTTTGAATCGCACATGTACAATTTTTTTTCGTATGATGCGGACTTAATTTAAAGGCGAAGAATAATTAAACGTGTAACGATACGCAGTATATTTGCGATAAAGATAATAAAGGAGCAAAAAACACTATTGATCCCGCTAAAAATATACTAGAAAGTCTAAAGTATGATCTATATATCCGGTCGGTAACAGAATTCTAACTATATCAAGTTATTTATTTAAATACCGAATACCGAGTTATCTCGTAATCTCAATTTTATTCGCGCTTAAAACTCCAGAAGACGAGAAAGATTATATAAATATTCCCTTCGGGAAAGATTAAACACTCATCAAAATTTCTACGCATTATTTCTCAGCCTTTTAAAGTTACGCTGGATTATGTGGGATTGAAAAATGCTTTGGAATTATATACTACATAATTCCAAAGTCGATAAATACTGCAATTTTTTTTATTAAAGTTTATCGAGGATATTTAAGCAGGTGCTTTTTCTTTTTTTTTTGCGAGAGGCGAGCAGGAGTAATGTTTTGTCGGCGTATTTTTGGAGCTTCATCTGTTTAGCGGCGACGATTAAAAAACGCTTTGTGAAAGGATTTATGACCGCGGTATTCTTAGGGCCGTTGCAAAAATTCTTCTCTTTCCCGGCGCGATGTTCGTCGTCGACGTGAGAACTGAAATATTCGCCGGAGCGGCGAATACAAATCTGCTGCTTGTTTTTAACGTTTGTGTTATTCTTATTTTCTCAGACTTCATACATGTATATAGATATACGGTTATGATATCGAGCTCGCAATAGAGCAAGATGAAGTATCAACGACGTACACGACGGTGGGCATAAATCTTGGGAGATAAAAATTGCAGAAGATCCGATGATACGTAATCTAATTCTACACATTGAAATAAAGCGATTTCTTACTCATCATATTTGTTTCGATATATCCAAACGTGATTAATAAAAAATATCAAACTGCACAATCTTTATAAAAGAAAGCAAAAAACATTCTTATAGTTTGTTACTTTATTTAAGAAGATTTATATTTTTGAAATATTATTTTTTTACATTACTGTATAAGATACAGAAATTACAAAATTATCAGTATAAAATTAATATAAAATTTATTTATATAAATTTTATATTAATTTGTGTACACACATGCACACACGTAGAGAATACAAATAAATATATTTATTAAATAATTTGTTAAATATAATAACGATCAAATATCAAAGGGATGGATAATTTATAATGAACTAGATCACTGTATAATACTGTTATCATCGTAGAACGTATATCCTATGAATATTTTAGAACTAAAAGCATTACAGGCCTGTGGCGGTAAAGGATAAATATCAACATATATAGTTAGATTAATGGAAATGCACTTATAATTATTACGGTATTATGTGAGATTACAAGAGTATACATAGATGCTTTCCGATTAAAAATTCGGAAAAATAAAAAAATTCTTATAGAATTTTATTGAAAAAAATTCATTAAATCTTTAAAAAAGAGGTCACATAATTTCTGTAAATCGAGAAAGGATTTTTGCTGAAAGTGCAAAATACATTGTTGGTTAAAATTGTGAAACAGTCAGAAATTAATTGAATTCGATCGGTGAAATGGAATGTGTTTTCAGTATATGTCAATAACTCCAAGCAACATAACTTGCGCGTACGTGTCCGATATGCATCCGATATCAATTTTATCCCCATCGGTTCTCTCTTTTCGGACAAGTACATATATAAAACATTTAGCCTATAAATCTTTGTCTATAAATTCAACGAATTTTATTTGCAATGTATATATTTAATATATATTTGATCCATATTTGATGTAGATTTTATATTTAATCAAGATATCTATTTCCTAGAAAAACATCTGGATTTTTCAGGGATTTCTTTCGTACATGGAAAAATCAGAGAATTTTCGTGATATATTATTGGAACTCAGAAAATCTTTAAAACAAATTCTTTTTTTGATAATTTTTCGTATTGTCAACAAACTAACAATAAGAGTGAATTGCGTTTAGAATATATTATATATATATATTTAATATCTTTAAAAAAATATTTAAAATATTTTAGTACATATTTTTTATTGTAATTTTTTAGTGATAAGAAAATGAAAATGTTAAAAAAAACATTTATTTTACGAGAATTATTCAGGTTCCTTCAATACATTTGCAAATCTAACATTTGAAATTTAAATAGCTCTATATTTTTGCTTCGTATGAGTGAAAAGCATTAAAAAGTGCATACAATGAAAAAATTTATTTTAGAAAGTTGTACTAAAAAATCTTTAAAATATTCCCTCCTGAAATTTTGAACAAAAATATCTGGAAGATCAGAAATTTTTTTATTTTGATTTAAGAGAGAGAGAGAGAGAGAGAGAGAGAGAGAGAGAGAGAGAGAGAGAGAGAGAGAGTTGATTTATGTTTTGAATTGTGAAATAATTCTGTTAACTTTATCTTTTCATTAATATCAATTATTTTTTAATTTATAATATATTTCATAAAATTTTATGCTCTCCATCAACTGCATAATAATACAAAATTGCAGCTTGTTTTATGGTTGAAATCCTATTATATATTGAAATTCATATTACACAAATCTCGAGAAATAATTATACAACTAATTAATTAAAGTCAATAATAATAAAGAAATTTTAACAAAATAACGTTATCAAATACATCATTTGCACATCGATTCTAAGCAATGACATTTTTACTGATTAAATTTAAAATTGTGATTTTCCTCATACATATCGCATACTATATCTTCCTATCGAAATACGTTGTTCGAATAATATGCGCATCTGATTGGAATAGAAGACAAATTCAAGGAATTTATGCGAGAACACACACACACACACACTACATATTACATAATTAAAATTATAAATCAACAAAGATTCTCTTTTCTTTGGTTACAGATCGAGATGGAAAATATTTTTCTAATTTCGAGCGTATCGTTAAATGACCGTTTCCGAGACAGTCCACCGAGACTCGTTTAACGACATCCAGGAGGCGGAATTCAAGTCGAATTTGACAGTAAGCAAGAAGGATGTAATTTACCTTTCGCCAATCCTCGATGAAACGGGGGTAACGTGACGTGAATAAAGGTACATCGAGCGAGAATAGAAGCGATCGTTGACATCGACGATGTCGGAAGCGTAAAACGTGGCGCGTCCATTCGTCCCGAAGATGCTGGTGGACGACTGCGGAAACGGAATGGGGTGGACTACGGCCAGCGTACGCGGGGGATGGTCCACCCCGGGAGGATGTAGAAATTCAGCCATGAGCTTCGGCGGCAGCGTGCCGTCCTTGCACCCGACCGGCTCGATAAGATCGTTACGTTCGCAACATTCTATGCAGGTGAGGTGAATAAAGGCGCCGTCCGTTATCGTGATTGCAACGCGATCGAAATCAATCTCTACTTCAAGTATACTCTAATCTCTAATTAATCTAATGAGGTTCTCATAATTATTAGTTAAAGTCAAAGGCTTTTTGTGAAAATAAAATCAGAATTATAGATAGAGAATTTGTAATATTTTTAATTAATATTAATATTTTTGATTGAACGGGGGAATGTTATAATTTTTGCAGGATTTTATTACGTATGTCGATATAATTTAATTAAATTTAATTAAAAAATAAATATTGATATTTTTATCCGATTGAAAAGATATGCAATTGCAATTTGTGTACAAAAATATATAATATGATACTTTTAAATCTCAAATATTTTCCTTCTGGAAAGAATACGCGAATTTTTAATTTATCATTTCCAAACCTTTTCACCTTTGCGATACTGATAAATTATATTAACGTTTTAATTGTATATCAGTAGTGATAAATCATCTCTATTTTGTGTTATATTCTAACGTCAGCGTAGAGCAATATTTCATGATAATAATAATAATAGTAAATATGGATGATTGCACGTTTACATGAATTTCTCAACATCGTGTTTTCTATCTCTCTCTCTTCCTCTCTCAAGCGCTTTGAAAATTTATCTTGCTTGCAGGCTCCGCCCGAGACACCGCGAAGATGCATACATTGTCATCCGGTACATGTTCCCAGCACCCCCAATAATTACATGCAACATCCTATGCAGTATTATACGCCGACTCATTGTATGGAGGGTCAGAATGGCACATATACGCCGCATCGTGGCAGCTCGTATCATGGCGGTGAGTTTACTTTTCAGTTAATAATTAAACAGTTTTCCAAATAGTGTCAATCATCTTTGAATCCTGGATTTTTGTTATAGAATTACAATGTTGTCATCTATTCTTTTTGCAGTCGCGTGATCTTTTTGCGCATTTACATAATTAATATTAAAATATATTTTGAATATTATATTATTATTATTATTTTACATAATATTATTATAAATTTAAATTTAATGCATAGCAAGATTATTACGTTTATTAAATTTGTGTCGATATTTAATTATTCAAATATTTAATTAAATTTATTCTAATTATAAATAAACTAAATTTAAGTTAATTTAAATTTAATACAACATATCTCTCCAAGAATATATAATAACTTCGCGAATTGTATAGCTAATTTTTGCAAAAATATAATATTGATGGCAGAGATTATATTGCACGATTCTTTTAGGGAATGTTCTTATGTAATATTTTCAAACCTGCGGTTTATAGATACGCATATATACATTGGACGTCGTTCTCGTAGAACATATCGATAATTTTAAAATTTTTAGCGAAACTTCTCTGTTGTTCAGTTATCGTTTCTTTTGTGTCTGCACAAAAGCAAAAGCCAAAAGAAATAGGACAAGATGAAAAGGTTATACGATGAGAGATACGGTAGAATAAAAATCAATTCCACTTAACGGTACCAAAGAGATACCTGGGAATTTCGAAGCTTGATATATCGTCGAAAACAGTGTCTATCAAAAATGTAGGTCGACCGTCAGTTTTCAATCTCAACCGACACGAGGGTGAATCTGAGTGGAGTGCTTTGCCTTACTTCTTTTGTTCGGAAGAATCAACAATTCTGTGTCTATTATAAGCGGCAAAAAAAAGTTTAATATTCTCCATTCATAATTAATATAAGGCAAAAGGTACCGATGCACATGTGACTTTATTTCAATTTTTCGAGAATGTAATGTAAATGATATGCAACGAGAGAAATAATAAACGTGATTCTCTCATTTCATTACAAGACATTTTTTATGTAAATAAAAGGAGAAAAACATTTTTATAGTAAAATAGAAAATAGAAATATCTGCCAAGCCGCTATCGTATTCAATACACACAGTCGAGAGTTATACCGCAGTCTCTCGCACATTTATCACAATCATTGTACATTCTCGATGCTCTTCGCCGCAGGATTTTAGACATTTCATTTGAATCGCGCATTGCGAAAATGTGGCTGTGATTCCACTAAGGATGCGGCACGTTCGCAAGAAATGCGAACGTGCTGCATCTTTTACGGCATCATGAGGGCACGCTCGTAACTCGTCCCACGGCAATTTCGCTTCCTCGGCACCCAGGGCCATCCCCGACAATTTCTACGTCTTACATCATTTTTAGCAAAATACCTCGTGTCAGTCGTCCATTCTTTTTCACTTCTCGTTGTTAGAGAATTCGGCTTCCTCTACGCGTGCTCTCCTTTCGTCCCTTATTTTCATTATACACCGGATAATAAAGAATATCTGGTTCTCGCTGCTAATTTTCCCTCTTAAGGGCGAACACGCGCGACGTCTCGTTATCAGTGATGCTAACGATGATGACGATGATAATGGCACCCTATAATAATGCTCTCTAAATGATTTTACACGCTGAACTGTTAATAAGCAACAGAATTCGCGCAGAAACTTATCCACTTACGAACATGTTAGTCCGGATTGAATTGCATTGAAGTTTAACTCGCGTGCTGACACAGTGGCACGATAATTTACAATTGTGATGTCAAACTGCCATATAACACAAAGACCACCAGCGAATAAATGAGAAGCAGCGAAATATGAGATATATTCTCAAATCCAGTTTTAATTGCGTGGATAAAACAAAGCGATAAAATTAATAATACGCGTATACCATACAAAGTATATTTTACAAAGTATAATGAAGAAAAGTTCATTATATAGAGAATGGTTGAGGACAAAATTCAAGTCAAAAATTCAAAATTCAATTCATTAATATTTTTTTAAAGCTAATCAAAACATTAATTAAACAGTGATTAAAACTAGTCGATGACCGGATTGGCGAATTTATATTATACGATTCAATATACGTTGAAATTTAATTTTCGCCAAGACACATAGGGATATGAAACCCATGGATATTTAACATTTAACGCGGCTGATAAATTCAAGCAAAAAAGCGATTTTTTTTATCATCTTAAATTCTGAAGGAAATAATAGATATAATGACAATTAGAAGGCTCGCGTATTGCAATGCAATAATAATCAAATTAACATTAAAGGGCCGACAATACGAGCAAATTAATAAGTTAGAAATAAAAATAAATAAAACAATTAATTATAAGTTTGTTTAATTAAAAGATCACAAACGTTTTAATTAAATGAACTTATAATTAATTGTTTTATTTATTTTTATTTTTAACTTATTAATTTGTCGTATTGACGGCCATTTAATGTTAATCTGAAGGAAATATTATTAATTTTTTAAATATTTTTTTAAAGCCAATCAAAACATTAATTAAACGGTGATTAAAACTATTCGATCAATGACTGGACTGGCGAATATTATACGATTCAATATACGAAATTTAATTTTCGCCAAGACACGTGGGAATATGAAACTCATGGGTATTTAACATTTAACATTTAACGCGGCTAATGGAAAAGTTTATACCGGTTGGACGTGATTAACGGCGATCCCACACATGGATCACCCATAATTCAGTTAGATATTTTTTCTCAAAAAAAAAAAAAAAAAAAAAAAAAAATCAAAAAAGACAACAAAAGCGACCGGACACTGAATCCGCGCTCTTTAGTTCACGAGGTAAAACAAGGCGCTTTTCTATCTCGCGATCATCAACCCTTCCTTTCCTTTCCTTTCGTGACCTACCCTTTACGCCCGTTACCTTTCAACCTACCACCTTCGCCCTTTCAAAAGTGCATTTACCTAACCCTCGCCTCCACTTCTTACCTTCGCGTAGTTTCTTTCAACTCGTTTCTTACCCATCTCGCACCCTGTCTCATGCAAACGATGTTGCCATCCACAGGGACCGTCACGAGCATCAGCGCTCGCATTGTGCGGAGGAAAATTCGATGCGCAAAATATTATGTCGAGTATTAAACGTTTCGATTCAACCTTCCATTTGCGCAATGACGGTAATATTTAATAAGGACCACCCGAGGTTTTCTCGAGCAAATTATACATTTCTCAAGAATTATTGCACAAGTCGCCCTGCTCTTAATCAATTTCACGAAAAAGATTGCTCGAATAATTTTTCCGTTTCGCGATTAATTTACGATCTCTTTCAGACACTCGTCTGCGCTACATAGACGGGGATGAAAGCATGGGTAATACGAACTGGGTTCTAGGCGATTTACCCACTCTGCATCGTTGCGTACCCGCACTTCGTCGTCCAGGTATAATCTCCTGCCTTTTATACGCATTCGAATATTCATAATAATAGCTGATGATTATCATTCGCAAATGTCGTTTCTTTCCGTAATGTGAATAAATATTGTTTAAATAATACGTAAATATAACGTGAATAAATTAGGAAGAGCAAAAGGTGAAAAGAAAATGAAACTAAATAACTTTCTTGAAAAAAACGATAAAAATAAAAAATAAAAATCTTTTTCTTTTATGAAAATAAAAAAATTATTTTATTTTCATAAAAGAAAAAGATTTTTATTTTTTATTTTTATCGTTTTTTTTCAAGAAATTTATTTAGTTTCATTTTCTTTTTATTTCATTTTTTTTCACCTTTTGCTCTTCCTTCATCAGAGATTTTTGAGCGATAACTTCTTAAGGAAGCATTTTTCGATCCATGTTTATAAGAAATTTTTTGTTCAGAATTAAATTTCCTATAAGATTTCAAAGTCTGGCTGAAACGTTCGGGGTCATCCTGTATAATATATGATTATTAAATAAAATTAATATAATTATAAGAACGATACTAATAAATTACAGTAAATGACATTAATCTCTAACTGCAAGATATCTGTATCAAAACATGTAGCAAACTCATTTATCTTGCCTCAAGTTTTTTATTCGCGTTTTTATTCTTTTATATCGAGAGTTATATGCAAAGTATCAAATCTATTCTCGTCGCGAGATATTCCGTTATCGATGAGGCATCGGGATGCAATTTATTTCCGAATTATAAAGAGAATAAAAACTTTTTTTTCTATCTCAGGCATAGATGTCGCCGGTATGCGAGCGCATTTCTATCCGGAGGGTGGTTGGGGTTGGTTGGTCTGCGCCGCCGGTTTCCTCGCCCTGTTGCTCACCACCGGGATGCAGCTCGCCTTCGGATTGCTCTATCTTTACGCCGTACGACATCTCGGTGATGTCTACTTGATGGACATAGGTATGTTAAGCATCTTATTTACTAATTAATAGATTACGATATTATTCTATCAACATACATAAAAGTTGTACGAATAATTTTGAAATTGTTGACATTTATTCTTTTATAATGGTGAAGAAGGATTAGTTAAGAAAATTAGCTCTCGTCAATCATCGTAAGACATGGAATGTGATATTTTTGCTCTGGAAAGTATGAAACAATTGTCGATAAAATCTCGTACAATTTTTACGTAGATCATGTGAATATAAATAATAATATTATCTAGTAATAATATTATCTAATAACATTATCTATTAATATTATATATCAAGATAATTTATATATTTTTTAAATAATTTCTTTAATGATTCAGAACGACAAGAAAATATGTAAATATATTGTATAAAGCACTGAATCCGTATCCTCGCAGCGAGGACGAATACTGGCGAATTTCTCCGTAAATATTCGTCCGTGTATCTGTAAAAAAAAATCCGTTATTTGTCGAAACGATTAGATCTGTAGATTCAACTCTTCCGTGTACACACTTCCGTGGAAAACGTAGCGTTTTCCGGTGCTGTCGACGATTCCGCCCTCGCACTCATTAATATTCCACCTTCTCGCCGGGTTGCTTTACATATATCGCGTAACGCGAAGCGCGCGCCTGGTGTTTTCTGCTGGATGCACATTGCCTTCGTATAGTTTCCGAACTTGAATGTGTATATTAAAGTTCTATTTCTTAGAACAGCGACAACGCGCATTTTACGGCGGGTGGAAGCAACAAATTACGACGTGACTCGCGTAATTCACGGCACCGTTGTTTTTCCAACGGGTAACGTTAAGGAGGGGAAAAACCCGTAGCTTCGTAACGTTTCACTTTTCGAGTAATTTTACGTCGACGTATTTTCCGGACAAAGGTTAATTCGAAGCATTTGTCTTCCGTCTTCAACGTCGCAAATTGGATATCAAACGAAACTTTTGTTGAGGCGAGGATTACGAATGATTAATTGGGTATTAAATAATCCTGTTACACCTGTTTGTATAGTTTTGACATTTCGTTAATTAAGATTATTTTATGTTAAGCGTGTGCTTCAATTGCGCCTTTTGCATCCTTCGAATCTGTCCTGTTCGAACGTTACAGTACCCCTTATAAGGACGATTAAGCAGTGAAATTGCAAAAACAATTCGTCAAAAGAGCAATTTATTGCGGAAAATGAATATTTACCTAATTGCAAGCTGATACAATTTGCATGTCTCGCCGAAACAATACATTTCAATTTATATTCATATGTTATCGTCATAAACTGCACACGACACATCGTGCATCGGGCGGAAATTTAATTCTACCTATTCATAATACATTTTTGAGTTATTCTACATTTTTCGATTTGCATTGGGAAAAATTGTATTACTGCTCTTTATCATATCGGCATTTCCACTGTGCTGTCATTCGAGCTTTTGTGAATTTATATATTTATCGCGATATAAATCTATCTTTTAAAGATTCACAATTCGTCAATCACTATTCAATCGATGTATTATCGATCATAAAAGATTATATTGATAATGTCATTGCGGATATATTCGTGATATATATAAAATTAAAAATTCATTTTTCATAAATAAATATTCGATAAGCTACAAAAATTTATTTTATCATCTCAATTGATTGAGAATCGATGCTTTTCATTAATTGTTTATTATTAATAATTGTTTATTATTAAATTTAAAAAACTCATAAATTCCTAAAACATAACATATTAAAATGTAAAAGGTGCTTATTTCAATATGAATCGTCAGATATTTTACATATCTTCTTTGATTGTAATAGATTCTTTACAAAGGGCTAGCAATAATATTGACTATGTTTGCCATTATGCATTGATATTTACATGCATAAATATTTCTTCATACAAATTCACTGTGAAAATTCTACAAAAGAAATTTATTACAATTTATAATGTCAGTTTTATACCAACGTTTTATTTTTCAAAAAATCGCATTATCTTGGGTATACAATAACTAAGTCTGTTTACTGTTTACATCTACTTTACGATTTTATCGGACGAGATGTATTTTAAAGCATAATACATCAAAATATCGGGGATATTTTTGAAGACTGAACGTTAACAGAATAAACTGTATTAACGAAAAATAAAGTTACATGTATTAAAATTAATTTTATCAAAGTTCCATTTCATTTAAATAATATAGATAAAATATGTAATACAATATGATAAAGTTATATTATTATATAATTACATCAGTTTCTCTCTCTTTTTCTCTTTCTCTCAAAATGTTAAAATAATTTCTTCTATATATCTACACAAGATTGTGTTATAAAAGTCTTTTCCTGGTTAATCAGATTCTGTTTTATGCCAGGTATCGTGTAATAAACCGAAATTAAATAAAAGAAATAAATTTTATTTATAAAGTTTTCGCTCAGTCTCGAGTAAACAGTCCTCATTTGCCTCACAGGCAAACGAGGAGTTAACCTTGTTATTGCGACTTATTTTCCTAACCAATGAAGTGTTAAGGAGCACTTAATTTCTACTTCGTTATTCGATTAAAGGTTAAACGGCAAACTATACCGCGAACACGATCAACGAGATGAGATGTATATGTATATATATATATATATATATATATATATATATATATATATATACCGTGGATATAAGATAAAAGTGAAAGGTCTTTCCCCTTGACATGACATTTTTCCGACCTTAAAGTGATTAAAGCAAAGAGAGTTTTATATATCGATCGCATACCCAGAGAGGTGAGCTTCCTCTTCCTGGTTTTTAAACTAGGGATAAAAGGGGGCCAGTCCATGCTCGAAAGCGAATAAATTATGCGCGGTATATAAATAGAGAAAGAGAGAGTGCTACAATACAAGGCGCAAGAGTGTTATATTATTAACTGTTTACATAAAGTTAGCTTTGCCTTAGAGTCATTGGTTATATGCAAAAATAATATTAACCTTACGAGAAGACATTAAATTGTTATCGCATTAAAGCTGAATGGAAAATGCACGTGTATTCATTAACTTAGAGCTACGATTAATTTTTTTATAGACTTTGCATATACATATATGTGTCTTTAAATTTAACAAGATTAAGATAAAATATAGACGAGGTAAAGTGTATAAATTATAAAAATAACAAATAAAGGTCATTACGCAAAGTATAGAATAATCAATCAAGAAAATTGACGTAATAGACACAATATCCCTATTTAAGTTAACCCTTTCATCACCAAGTATCGTCACATCTTCGACATAAAAATAGATGTCGTGCGGTTATTAGATGTACTTTATCTCGCGCTAATAATAATAAAATGCTATTAACGTGGAATGCTCATATCGAAGAGAGAGATATTGAATATTTCTCCTGCGAACGAATGGATATTCATGAATATATCCTATTATTTTTATCGTTTCTCCAGAAACGAAAGTTCGACTTTCCACTAAAGACAACTACGTACAATGTTCTCGTTGAACGGCATCTACGGAAAAGGAGGAAATATCGAGAGAGAAAATACCTTTGGCAAAAAGACTTAAATTTTACTTATCCGAAGTCGCGTCGATCGCTTACATTTCCACACAATGCGCGCAAGAATCGAACTATGTGACGCTATATATATATATATATATAGGTGAAATCGCGGGACGAAACTTGTCAAACTTAGCACTCAATTTCGGTGACATCAAGAGGCAAAAGTTTCCCATCGCGGGAACAAGATCACCCCGTTTCGAGAGATAGGGAGAACTCGATTCCGGATTTCATTCTTTCATATTTTTCGAGGAACGGGAAAATCTCTTACACGATTCGACGCAATAAAGCGAGCGGAGTTCGTGGCAAAGAATCCCAGCGTCAATATCTTCCGGGGGTCCCATGTTTGGTATTCGAAGTGACACGTTCGTTTCGAAAAATCCGCTTAAGCCTCATCAATAAGTCGATACATCACCCGACATGAAAAATATTTTAACTTCTCTCACCCTTTCTCCCCGCATCACACGTCGTTTTATTAAATAGCCCTTGCCTTCCCCCAAGTATTGACAATTCCTCGATATTTGTCGAAGTTCAATAACGTCGCCGGGGTATATAATGACAATGGGGTATTGATCGTCTCTTGGAGCTCCTTTAGGCAATGTTCTCAGGAAACACAGCGAGTCCTATCTAAAGCCAGTCCCGAGCATACGTGCGTATCCATTCTCGTATATGTTTGTACGATACCAACGTGGCGTGTTATTTGTCGATCGACCTCGCGTTTCTCGCACTGTGACTCCTCAACCACCGGGAATCGAAGGGAATCACCGGCTCGTGCGTCCGGGGATACCTTCGGTGGTATATTTCAACTTGCGCCAGATACAAGCCGGCGTCCGCGAGTCCCACGTCCCTCGAGCTTTTCGCCAAAGTACGATTAACGTGCCGTGGCACGCGCCTGTCGTCGCAACGTCCGTGTCCGTATGTGTATGTATGTGTGTGATTTCGTCCTTTCGTTCAGGTTCCTTACATAAAACAGCAAGCTATCCGACGGATCGGTCCCGCTAAAGGCGCTTTCTTTCGAGTAGATCCGACTAAATAAGACAAGAATCGAAGGGAGTCTGAAAAACGACCGATGCTGGATTTACGTATATTTATCGCCTGACACTTGTGCCTGACAGAAGCGGATGTAACATAAACTCTGATCAATTTTTCACGGACATCGCATAAAAAATTTACACGAGAGAAATTCTAAAAGAAACCGAACTGTAGAATCGCTCTGTCTAATGGAACAATCCTATAAAGTTAGACAATAGCTAGGAAAGATTAGCAAATAATTCTTTCGACATTGCACGAATTTGTTTTCTGATAAATTATTGCTCTTTAATGAACACTTCTTATCTCGACTTGGAATTCAGGAAACGCCGAAAATCTCGATAATCCGAACACATCCTTGCATTAATTATTTCGGATTATGGACTTTGTATTGTATCTGTGTAAGCCGGTGTGGAAAAGGGATATTACGAGCGTAGTGAGATC